AAACTGACCAAAAATGAGGTGTCTACGCCCAGTTGGGGCGTGGCAAATCGGAAAAACCTGTATATTCTACAGTATTAGAACGAAACTTAACTACTAAATTGTTGATGGGATGTGAATGAGTATTCCGCAGTCGGTAACGCCCGACTGCAACGTTCTTACTTGTTTTTTTTATTTTAGTGGGATTTTGGTAGAGGGATTTTAGTAGAGCAAATATTCAGTAAGTTGTGTATATATCTTATCAATAAAAAAATTAGATTTGTATAATATATTTTTATGTTGTTATATGTACTTTGATTGTAATAGATTTTTCCGATATCTCATTTAGGTATTTATTAAAATAAAAATTGATTTAATTCCTTAATTTTTCAAGATAAAACTGAAAGACCTCCGAGCTTACTTAATTCTTATATGATATTCAAATGTTATTCAATGATGATTCACCTAATATATAGAGGTCAGAGTACATTTCTTCAAGTGGTGCATCCGTCATTCATTTCCTTCCTATATATAATGCTCTATATAATGCGAATTTCTTAGATAATTAAAAACAAAATTAAATAAAAATCCAAAACTAAATTTGTTAAATTTACAGGGTATTTGTAGGGAATGTGCTATAATCTGAAGTTGGTTAGTTGGCCGGTTATAGCTGGTTCTATATAGCATGTACCGAAGAGAACCATAAAACTTTATAGAGTATTTATGCGCTTGAACATATTTGTTATGCTTTTCTGTTTTTGCTGGCTCAGCTTTAATTTGATGAGCTTGAATGCATAAGAATACAGTTATAATAATATCATATATTTGTGGACTTGCTCTGGCTCTGGTGCTTGTCTTCTTCTTGGATTACACACATTTGGCACATTCGCTCCACCTAGCAACCGCAGTTCAGTCGATCCACTCTATCCATAATGTCATATCCCATTGGAATTTTCGGGTCTCGAGTCTTCTAGCAGTCGCTGTGCTGCTCATTTAGCTGTATTTTTTTCTGGCGTCTTTGCTTTGGCATTTCCCCATTATCTTATCTGTTGTCTGCTTCTTCCTCTTGCTCATTTGTTTGCCACAATTTGTTGTTGCTGTTGCTGTTGCTGTAGCTCTCGTTTATTGTTGTTAGGTTTTGCTGTGTTTGCATTACGTCTGCGTATGCGCTATATAATGAGTGTGTCTGTGTGTCTGTATGTGTGTGTGTGTGTGAGTATCTGTAACTATATGCTTATCTGTGGACTTAAGTCCTGACCGGCACTACATAGATATATAGATAAATATGTGTATACACACATACATACATACATACATATATAGATATTTATATAGCATATCATATCATATCATATCATAATTCTGGGCATGTTCCACTGACGCACAAAATGATCGATTGTCTCTAGCTGTGGCTGTTGCTCATGACCAGCTTTCTAGAGCACCTAGGTGTGTGCGTGTGTGTGCGAGCGAGACAATGCTATAGCCTTATGGAGTCGAGCAACTGAATGAATAATTTGACTAATATTTGTTTATGAAACACAAGTGTTTTCACACCCAGGCACACACACACACGCACACACGCACACATACACTACAGTCGCACACTACACACACACACACACGCACACATACAGTTGATTACATGGCTATTACTGTCTCTGCATGTAGATAACCCAATTTGCACAAGTGTCGGGCTTATTTGCTGCTGCTATGTTCGTTGCGGTATATGCGTAAGATCTATGCGCTTTGGCTCCGGCCACGCCCACAATTGACACTTGAAGCGCCGTTAGTTTTGTGCCAAGCCGAGCCGAGCCGAGCCGAGCCAAGCCAAGTCAAATCAAGTCAGTCATGGGTTTTTATAGCCAATTTATTGTCGTCAGGTTGTCGTCAGCCCTTGCAGCGCTCTTCCTCTGGTCGCCGCTTGGCGGCCATTTTGTAGTCGGCTTGCTCGACTTTTGACTCACGATTCACGATTCACGATAGTCGGCGTCTCTCATAAAATCGTTATTATCATGCGCTCGGCCACCTGACTGCGTGCCTCGGCTAGAGACCCTTTCTTCTAGCTGAGGTACGGGCAACGGGCAAGGGGCAACGGGGCGCATGCGCAACGTGCTCGAGCAGTACAGTTGTGCTCGCTGAATATAGTCCATATACATGTGTATAATTTCCTATATATATTTAGCTTGAGTTAACATTTGGTCTGACTTTTCATTTTATTGGTCTTCCCTGTGCAGCATCCGGGCGATGATCAAAATGTGGAGGACAGCTGGTTCTGGGAGCCCGCTGGCTCGGAGGCAGCAGCCACAGGGCCCGGCAAAAGCGCATCGGATGCGAGCTTGGTGGAGGTGGCGCTGCCCGACACACCGGATGTGGCTCGGCTGAATCTGACCATTGCGAGTCTGGAGCGCGACAATGAGGAGCTGCGCCACTCGCTGGACATGCTCGATGCACAGCACGAGCAGGCCATGCAGAACATGCTGGGCCAGAAGACAGAGCTGCAGGCGCAGCTGCAGGAGCTGAAGCAGCTGCAGGCCGATCGCCTGGTGGCGCATGAGCTGGAGATGGCGCGCCTGAAGGCGCAGCTGGCCAACGAACAGAAGCAACAGCAGACCGTGGCGCTGGAGCGCGAGCAGCTGCAGCAGCGTGTGGAGCAGCAGGGCGCCGAGCTGCAGCGCTGCATGCTGGAGCTGGCCGAGATGCAGCAGCTGCTGGAGAAGCGGGGCGCCGACAACGGTGAGCTGATCGAGCGCGTCCGGCAAGCGGATGCCGAGCGGGACAAATTGCAGCGCGAGCTGGAGGAGCTGGTGAAGCAGTCCAAGGAGAAGAAAACGTCCGAGTCGTCGACCAGCTCCTCCACGGGCAAGCACAGCGAGGACGAGTTTATAGTCGTACGCAATACAGATGCCACTGGCTCCAGCTCGGATCCAGACCCCGATCCGGATGTAGATGCCGACGCCGACGCCGACGCCGATGTGGATGTGGATGCCACCAAGGAGGCGCTGCTCAACAAGCTCGGCGAAATGGAGTCACGCATCGCCGAGATGACGGCCATCAATGCCAAGCTGCAGGACGCCCAGCTGGAGCGGCAGCTGGCGGAGAATGTGCGCAATGAGCAGTTGGACGAGCTGGAGACGCGTCTGCGCATCAGCGAGTGCGAGAAGGAGCAACTGCAGCTGGAGCTGCAGCGCAAGCTGCAGCAGCTGACGATGCAGAACCAGGAGCTGAAGCTGAACGCCGAGGCGGACCAGGAGACGCACGCCAATGATCTGGAGCAGCAGCTGGGCGCGCTGCGCGCCGAGAATCGCCAGCTACGCCAGGAGCTGGACTCGAGCATTGCACAGGCGAAGTTCCGCCAGGCCATTGCCGAGGAGAAGCAGGAGATCACTGACCTGGACATGGACCTGGACCTGGATGCCCTGAGCCTGGCCGAGAGCAGCTCATCGCAGCTGATGGCGATGCTCGAGGCGCTGGTGGCCGACAAGTCCAAACAGAGCCTGGACCGCACCTATCACCTGCTGAACGACCGCCTCAAGCACCTCGACATGGCCGAGCGGGACGTGATGGATCTGCGCAAGCAGCTGCTCATTGCCGAGCACGACAAGAAGACGCTCGAGGCGGACATCTCGCAGTATGTGCTGCAGTGCGACGAGCTGATGAAGAACAACGAGGCGCTGCTCAACGAGATGGACAAGGTGAAGCGCAACAAGCTGGAGACCATCGAGGAGCATCACGAGGAGACCATCGCACAGCTCGAGCAGCAGCTGGAGGAGTCGCAGCTCCTGCTGCAGCACCAACAGCAGCAGCTGCTCGGCGAGGCGCAGCTGAAGGCGCAGCTGGCGGAAAAGCAACGGGAAATAGAGGAGCTCAAAGTTCAGCTGGATAGAAGTAATCACAGACAGGCCGACAGCTATCAGTTGGAGCGGCTGAGGCGGGAGTTAAAGGACCTGCAGCTGGCCAAGCAGGAGCAGGAGGCGCAATTGGGCCTGCAGCTGGAGCAGCTTAGAGTGGAACTGCGTGCCAAGCAGGAGCAGCTGGAGCTGAAGTTACAACAAAATGAAGATGCCATAGCTGAAGTGGGCACGCTGCACATCCAGCTGGACGCCCAGCAGGAGGCGCTGCACGAGAGCACAGAGAGAGGCGAGGAGCTGGAGGCGCAGCTGAAGAAATTGCAGGAGCAGTCCGACGACATCACAGAAGCCGAGCAGCAACTGGAGGAATTGCGCGAGCAATTGCAGTCGAGCGACCTTCAGCTGCTGGAGAGCAGGCGGCAGGGCGAGCAGCTCAAGGTGGAGCTGGAGGAGCTGCAGTTACAGCTGAAGGAGGCAGCTGAGCTGCGCACTCAGCTGGCGGAGAAGACGGCACAGCTGCAGCAGCAGGAGCAGTTGCAATCCCAGCTGAATGAGCTGCAAGCGCTGTGCAAGCAGCAACAGATCGAGCTGAAGGATAATCCCATGCTGAGGAGCCTACGGGAAGAGCTGGAGGCGCGGGCAGAGCAGCTGACGCAGTTGGAGGAGGAGCGCAATCAGCTGAAGGCAACACAGCTGGAGCTGCAGGCTAAGGCAGAGCAGAGCGAACAGCTCCAGCAGCAGCTGGACGAGCTGCAGGCCAAGTTGGAGGCACTGCAGCAAGCGCCGACAGATGGCGTCGATGTGAAGCAGAAGGAGCAGGAGCTGGAGCAGCTGAGGGCGCTGCATGCGGAGGAGATCGCTCAGCGACAGCAGTCGATCGCTACACAGAACGCCGAGAAGCAGGAGCTGATCAAGGCGCTGCAACAGAAGCACATGGAGAACACGCAGTACTATGCGGAAATACAGCGACTGCAGCCGATGGAACAGCAGCTGCGCGATCTGTTCAAGGAGCGCGAGAAGCTCTTGGATCAGATCAATTTCCTCAAGGAGAAGTCTGACATACTCACCACAAATCTGCTCACCGAGCAGAGCAATCAGCGCCTGCTGCACCAGCAGCAGGCCGAGGCCCAGGAGCAACAGGCGACGCTGCAACGGGACTTGGAGCGACTGCGCGCCCATCTCGTCGAGATCGAGGAGCTGCACACGCAGGAGAGCGTCGAGCTGCAGCGCGAGCTGGACGAGGCGCGCGCCAAGCACGCGGCGCTCCAGAGCGAGGTGTCCAAATCCAGCACCGCCTACACGTCAGCCAGGTGAGTTAGCGTTCAGCTCGGCTCATTAGCGTTTTGCCAAATTAGTTGGCGATAAGCGTGTCTGTTGGCCACGTTGAGTCACGGCGACGGCGGCCATTTTGAATGCGGCCGGTCACGCTCGATGGCGGCGACACGTGGCGAGGCGAATTCGAATTCGAATTCGAGTTCGCCAGCTGCCAGCGGCTCGAATTGCATTCGATATGCTGCATGTGTGTGTGTCGCCTCATTAGCATTTCGATTGTTATCGATAACAGCTGTCAGCTGCGAGCAGAAAACAAACTAATTACAAGTGTGAAGCGAAATTCCGGCTTGAGCACTTTGAGGGCTTTTCAATTAGCTTCGATCAGATAAGACGCAAAGTTTTACAGTTCGATTTTCTATGCAGCATTCGCGCCAATCAGCAGGCGGAGACGCTGCAGGCGCAGCATGCGCTGCTGCTGCAGCAGCGGGACGAGCTGCTGGCCAAAATCGGGCAGTTCGAGGACCGCGAACAGAAGCAACAGGCGGCCCTAACCAATCTGCAGTGTGCGCTGGAACAATTTCAGAATGGTAAGCATCAAATCTAAGTGGACCCAATTGGAATCCAATTGGCATTGGCTGACATTTTCTGCTGCTCTTCTTCCACTTAGACAAGGAGCACGAGATTACGCTGGCCACACAACGGATGCGACGCGAGATGCAGGCCCAGCTGGAGCAGCAGGCGCATCTGCAGTCGGAGCTAAATGCGCTGCAGCAGCAGCTGGCTGAGGCCAATCAGGGATTACGTGCCGCATCCCGGCTCTCCGATCAGCTGGAGGCCGGACAGCAGGCCATCGCTGTGCTGCGCGACGAAGGTGAGTCAGTGCACAGGCAGCGGGCATGTCCATGGATTATGACTAACCCAACACTTCCCAGCGTCGACCCGCACCCGCCTGGTTCCCCCACCCTCCACCCCCCACTCCCCACTCCCCGAACCCCCATTCCACAAATGTCGGCAATTTCGTTTCGTGTATCTAAAACGCATCATCAATTCTGCATCCAATCAACTTTCAAGTTATGCAATTAGCAATACCCTTTAATATTAGCTACGTTATCGGCATGCTCTTAACCCACGATCCACGCAGACCCTAATCTTTATACATACCTATATGCATATCTATATGTATAACAATCAACTGTTATATACATATATACTTATCTATTTATCGAACTCACGCATACACCCGCACCAAGTTCTATTTGAATGTTAATTGCTTTATCTGCGAGTGTGTGAGAGAGGTGTGAAAGAGTGCGAGAGAGAGAGAGAGAGAGAGAGAGAGAGTGAGTGAGTGATTGACTGAGTGTGCGTGTGAGTGAGCTAGCATGTGTGCATGGCTGTTAGTGTGTGAGCAAGAGCGAGAGAACCAGCTGTCACCTCACCCGATTCTCAAAGGTAAATATCAGCTGGTAATTCTGGGAGCAATGCCCAATATGAAACACTCGGAATTTCAGTTGGTATATACTTTTTTGAATTGCATTTTATCACCAAAGCGCAAACCAAAAAAAAAAAAGAAAATCAAAGAGAAACTTAAAAATAAAAACAACAAAAGAAATTGAAACAAAAAAAAACAAACAAACAAACAAAATTACAAAAAAAACAAAAAAAAATTAAATTAAAAACAAAAAAAATCGCACCTACGGCATGTGGCAATTGGCATATTGGCTGTTAACCCAAGTTGGTCTTTAGAGAGCAGGTAAACCCAATCGGAACGAACCCATAATCCAATTAGCTTGTACGCCCGCACCGCCCTCAACCACGTCCGTCTGCTTGCACTAACCCAACACCAACACTAGCACCAAAAAAACAAGAATAACCCAATGTTTCCTTCTGTTGCTACTACCCACAAACACACACAGAAAAAAATAATACTTATTTTCAAAAAACAAAAAAAAAAAACCAACACATTTCAGAAATTTTCAAGTTGCCTTTTGTGTTGTAAACTAAATGTTTTTTTTTTTTATAAATA